TTTTTTTTTTTTTTTTTTTTTTTTTTTCAGTTCGAGTAGGTGGATTCGAACCTCTCCGTCTATCCTCTTGGTCAAAAGTATATGCCTAAATCAGTTCGATACGTAAAAATTATCTAAACCATTATAAGCACTTTTTAATTCTAATTCAATTCAAGGAGGTATTATAAAGCTGTATACTTTATAATTAATTACCTCAACTGGAACCATTATAAGCACTTTCTAATTCTAATTCAATTCAAGGAGGTATTATAAAGCTATATACTTTATAATTAATTACCTCAACTGGATTTGTCCCCACGTCAATAACCACTGCACCAGGTTTTAGCCAACTACCACGAACCAGATTAGGGACTCCAGCTGCAGCAACCACTATATCCGCTTCACGAGTAATCTGTTCAGGATTCCTAGTAAATGCATGTACAATACTGACAGTGGCATGGTGCCTCTGCAAGAAACCAGAACAGGGAATATTTCAGTACTAATATAATTCTAGAACACAAGTGACAATAGTGTGTTTTGGACATAGAAGTGAATGTATATACATACCTGCAACAGCAAGGACGTGGGTAATCCAACAATATTACTTCTTCCAATCACCACGGCCCTCTTCCCGGAGATTTCTACACCGGATCTGATCAACAGCTCAATGCAGCCTTTGGGAGTGCAGGGTAAGAAAAGTGGTTCCCTACCTCTCATAGCAAGATTCCCCATGTTAAGTGGATGAAAGCCGTCAACGTCTTTTTCTAGGCGCACAGAGCTTAGAATTTTCCCCTCATCCAAATGCTGTTCCGAAATATCAAATTGTCAATCTCTATATTCCTTAAAACCCAATGAGTTCTAAATTCGTGTTAATAGCAAAACATGTCATCTACAGCAACTAACATGTCAGGCGATTTGCAAAACATTTATGTCTTGCAAGAAAAGAACCATCCCATGCCAAATCTAAGCTACTATGGCTATGCAGACAGTGAGGAGATGATAATCGAAACCAAGAAAGATGAACATCACGATCATGTTAATGTATTTTGATTGAAATGTGCAAAATTAAATATAGTCATGGTCCAGTTTTAGAAATTACTTGAGGTAGAGGAAGCTGCACAAGTATACCATGAATAGATGGATCTTCATGAAAATGTGACAAAACATTAAGAACTTGATCTTCAGTACAATTGTCGGGCAAAGAAGAAACCTCTGACTTGATTCCAGCTTCTTCACATGCAGCTATTTTGTTGCGAACATAAGTCTGTGAGTCCCTTCTTTCGCCAACCATGATTACAGCCAAGCCAGGAACCTTTCCCATAGAGTTCTTCATCCTCCTCACCTCACTAGTTATTCCTGATGTAATTTCATCAGCGATCACCCTGCCATCAATTACTGTTGTACTCTGCGGGTCATCTGCTAGTAACATTGGATCAACAGACACCAAGCATACCCAGATAAGAAATTGTTCAATGATAAACATAATAATATAATAAACCTGTATGGTGACACCACCTGGGTTTGAACTGGGGTAAAGGAGATGACAAGCAAGGAGGGTTGCAGAGAAAAGGTGACATACCATACGATGTAGCAGTGGAAGAATAATCAAGACAGCTTGAACTATTCCAAATATCAGGAAAATCAATGGATATGAGAGGTGGAGACAATAAAATCTGCCGGGCATCTGGTGTGATTCTTCTTTTCATAGCTGCAGATGTAAGTAGGACTCTCCTGCTCAGACTCTTGTACAATAACGCCATGTGTACACAGTGATCACTGTCACAATTGAAGATAGTTAGCGTCAAGGTTGTTAGTTATATACATATATTAGCTGAAGAGTAAAACAACTAGCAAGGTTCAGATAATTTCCAAATAAAGCTTTCACAGAAAAAGTCTATCAAGAACACAATTATAACTCATCCAAATTTTGATTTATGAGATCATATTTCTTTTTCCATTGTCTATCTTTGCATTTATCTCATGCGATCTTCAAGTAGGTCTCAGCTTCTCCAATGACACCCCCAAGCATCAATTCATTAGTAAACCAAATTGCAGTTATAGCAAACATATTTTCATTAATATGACAACTAAATATTAAACCCAATAGCATAAACTTGTCAGTACATTGGAAAGGCTGTCACGAGAGTAGATTCAGTTGGTTTTCACCAAGAACTTATAATGGCCTTCATAAGTCTATGCAACTTCCTTCAGCTGTGGCCTGATTTTAGATCCAATTTCGAAAAGAAAAAAAAAGCACCATATGTTACATCTAAAAGTGGACCTATTATTGGGATAGGAAATGTATTTAAGTGTGGTTTCTCGATTGAGCACTCAATCTATTCAAAATCTTGAGCTGCCAACTTCTTTTTAACAAATAGGCTGGGCTAGCACAACTGCTACAAATGCAAACCCTCCCCAATTTCAACATTATATTATGGTGCTCTACTAATTGGATTGCCTCTGTTTCATCTGACTGGCCCAACGAATTGAGCACCCACAACAACATTTGTCTCCATTTTGAGCCCATTTTCAAAGCTTCTCTCAAATCAAGTATATTCGACAATAGCCCAACCAACATTCTGAATCACTATATGTACTCCAGCACACTTCCCTCTAGATAGACTGAATAACTTTTCATACATCAATCCTTCCCATGTCACCATTTATACATCCAACTAAACCAACCCAATTCCTCTCTTGCCATAAACCACACTACAGTTATATAGATAACCATCTTGACATGCTAAATATCCCGTGCTTCCTCCTTGCATGCTAAAACTTTTTTGGAGGCTTACTGGTTTCCAAATAAGTTTTTAATGTAAACATGAAGTTCAAAGTTGATGAATTTGATAAAAGATATGAGATAAGAATCGGCAGAAAAATATAATATTAAATTTCTCCAACAAAATATATCCAAACTTATGGACTGTATTTCCAGTAAACTTTTGTCCTTGCAATCCCAATGGACACTGCCAGAAATCCTCTGTCTCGTTGTGAATAGAGTTAACTATTTTATTAACACGAGTAAAGAAAAAAAAAAGTTTGTCTCCATGGAAATCAAAAGAGGAAGTATGTATGGCCCCTCTTATGGGGCTGAAAGATCAATCTGCAAAAACAAAAGTGTCTGTGGAAGTCTCTCTTTAATTAGAAACTTCAAGATCACAGTTAGAACAGTATACTGAATCCATCAGGAAAATGGAGGGCAGAAAATTTAAGATAGATCATCAGTGGTTTTGGTTCTACACACACGTCTATTAGAACATGATGTTCTACACACAAAGAACGGGAAGTTAAGGTATACAAACCTATATAGAGCTTACAAACCTCTATTTAAAATTTACAGCTCACTTAACTCATAGTAATGTACTAGACCCGTACTTGGTATCTCTTACAAACATGTTTTTCCCTTCAAAGGAGTCAGACCTAGACTAGGATACTCAGCAATGTTTCAGCTGCTCAATACAAAACATCAAGTGGAGGCCCACATTGGAAGGACAATAATAACACTCAACGAAAACCTACTACTTGTAATGTGAAGGACGGGCAAATTCAAATAGCTTCCAACCGCAATGGAAGAATGAGTAGATTAATAGACACAAGCCGACGATTGTACATCATCGGGAGTTTCTCACATATCAAGTCCACAATTACAACTAAATGAGTAGTGGTCGATGAAATCACCATTCTTCTTTCTCATCCTTTTTCTTGTCACTGTCAACTACAATGTCAAGA